CAGTACTTGTGATACAGATTGGAATTTTCAGCATTAATCACAATATTGCATCTAATTTCCTCAAATTATAAATAAAAATTAATCACACAGAAAAATTTCCACATTTACAATAGAGGTAATGTCAAAAACATGCAGCATATAAAATGGAAATAGCAATAATAATGATAACAGCTAGCGTTATAATAATAATACAAGTGAAAATTGCCGTGGGCTTCTTTCACACAGTATTGTCAATGTGGTATAGAGATCCTAACATGTTTAAAAATATTGAATATAACGTTCTCTTTACATGATATGGTGAGGGGAAAAACAAAGATTGCAGCAGTCATGGAGATAAGTTGGTGTTTGCAATTATGAGAGTAAAACAAACAAAGAAGCAACAGGACCATAAATATAATAGAGATAATAAAAGTAAAACTTGAAGGTGTATAAGGATGGAGGGAAGAAATTGTTTATTTACTAGATGAAAAAAAGGTTAGTTAGTTCTTGGCTGACACTATTTTCATCACATAAAATATGTGCCAAGTATGGTATCATAGAATTTTTATACTTAGACGTGCGAGCATACAGTTTTCTGAAGTTACTTCTTGTTTTACCTGAGGAGATGCAAGGTGAAAGCTGAGGGTGCTGTGGTGGATGCTCCAAGTCAGACAAAATCCCTTTAGAAAATTTATTGCACGAAGTCAAGAACCCATCGACAACGATGTTAACTATGTGGTCCACTGGGACACCACCATTCACCCTACTGACAGTCTTCAGCATTCTACGAATTGTGACATAGTCCTTCATATATATATATATATATATATATATAGCGAAGAGAGTCCGGGTCCCGAAAGACAGGTCGTATTAAACTCTTCCTGATGAGAGTCAACAAGCATATAAACGTCATGGTCTAAGGACTCCTGTTGTCAGTGTCTCCTAACAATGCCTAAAAATCAGATTAATTTACTACAGAAAATATACTTTATTGAAATATTCAATAAACAATCTTATCAGAAAATTATCATTTTATTGCCGCTATATACATGACACTTTTATTCTTTGTGATAATGTGATTCAGATAGGAACACATTACCAATCCATTCACTCAAGTACATTCCGCTATGCGATTCACACGTGCGTAGAGGAATCCCAAAACAGAATTAATTGCCTTCCCAGATGTCATTCTTACAAGGAAACCAGATGGTAGTATAAAGAGAAATGTGCATAAGAAAAGCACATGGACAGGACGATGTACACATTTTCATAGCTGCGATCCTCTTCACAGTACAAAAAAATTTACTAATGAACCACCTCAGCCACACGATTAGAGCTATATTCTCAGAGATGGAGAAAGCTTCGAGGATAGGCAACACCAGGCAACTATTTAAACTCATCAGGGAAACGGGTGGGAGAAGACAAATCATCAGTGAGACAATCTCGGAAAAAAATGGCACTATAATTAGCTCACAGGATAGACGACTGGATCGTTGGAAAGAGCATTATGAGGAGCAGTTTAATTTGCCCACAGCCACGCTCAACCTTCCGAGCATCCAACACCTCCCTGAATGGGATATAGAAACAGGTCCTCCATCCCTAACTGAGGTTACTAAAGCTGTCACCAATCTGAAACTAGGCAAAGCAGCGGGACCTGATGGAATGACTCCAGAGGTATTTAAGTACGGTGGAGACAGTTTACTGTCTACATTAACTGAGGTACTAGGCAGCGTCTGGGAATCAGAAGAAGTCCCATCGGGTTGGTGTAAGTCACTGATTATCCCCATATACAAGAAGGGAGACAAGTCTTCCTGTGATAATCACAGAGGGATTAGCTTGACTAATATAGTATCTAAAGTCTTAGGCTCAATAATCATGCGTAGACTGAGTGGTGCTCGGGAGGCACAAACACGAGAGAGCCAGGCAGGCTTTAGACCAGGAAGAGGGTGTATTGATCATATCTTCACCCTCCGACAGATTCTAGAACATAGGAATTCCTACCGGCGTCCAACAGTCATTATATTTCTTGACCTAAAGGCAGCATTCGACTCTGTCGATCGAGAAGTTCTCTGGAGATGCTTGGCTGTAAAGGGAATTCCGAGAAAATATATTGCACTGATTAAGGCACTCTACTCGTACTCATACAGCCAGGTGAGGGCTTACGGCGAGCTGTCATCTGAACTGATGACGACCAGTGGTGTCCGTCAAGGATGCCCATTATCCCCTTTTCTATTCAACTTCATCATAGATGTGTTAATGGACTTAACCCTAAGTGACTTCAGCGACTCAGGGATTGACTTGCTACCAGGGAATAATCTCGTTGACTTGGAATATGCAGACGATATAGTCCTTCTAGGCGAAGACGCTGACGAAATGCAGAGTCTTCTAAACACCTTGAGCCGCAATCTACGAATGTTTGGCATGCGATTCGCTCCCGCCAAATGCAAGATGATGTTACAGGACTGGACTACATCGACGCCTAGTTTAAAAATAGGAAGTGAAGTGGTAGAGCACGTTGACCGCTTCACTTATTTGGGAAGTACCATCAGCCCCAACGGGCTGATCTCTGACGAAATCTCAGCACGAATACAAGGGGCTCGTTTCGCATTTGTTAGTTTACGCCGACTCTGGCGTAGACGAGATGTTCGACTATCGACCAAAGGGCGGGTGTACTGCTCATCAGTCCGCTCCGTCCTCCTTTATGGCTGTGAGACCTGGCCACTGAGAGTGGAAGACATGAAAAACTGACTAGCTGTCTTTGATCATAGGTGCCTGCGTTCTATTTCCCGTGTAAAGTGGCATAATAAGGTGAGCAACATTGAAGTTAGGCGTAGAGTTCTAGGTAAACAGGGGAAATCAATCGACGAAGTCGTGAAGCTACAAAGACTGAGATGGTTAGGACATGTGTTACGTATGCCAAGCCATCGCCTCCCTCGACGAGCAATGTTAGCGGATATAGGGTCAGGCTGGAAAAAAGCTAGCGGCGGTCAAACAAAAACTTGGCACCAGTCAATGAAATCCACAACAGTTGGTCTAAGCCACGTAGGAAGGTGTAGACTTCCAGGCTGGGGTCCTCGGGACGGTAAAAATCTATGGTTGGAAACAATTGGTGACATGGCTCAAAATCGTTCTCAGTGGGCGCAGATGCATCCACTCCTTGTGACTTATGATCTCCAATGAAACTGTTTTGTTCTTCGTCATTACTCCTCCTTTGTCTCACACCTCTGCTCACTGTTTCTATTATGCTTTTCTTGTACTTTCTTCTCTTGCTTCGCGTGCTACACGGAGTGTGGCGACTTGAACTTCCGCACATTTGTGCAAAGTTCTATGTCGAAAACAGACAGACAGACATATGCTCAGACGAAGCAATTGAAGATAAACTAAGCATTGTATATGATATGTTGATTGAAAATAGCTAACCCGATAGAGAAAGAGGAAAAGGACTACTCACTATCCGTAAACAAGAAAGATGCCTTCATACATACGACTGCAATTCAAGGGCCATCGATATACCAAACGAAATAATTAAGAAGGCATTAAGAAAATCTATTCAAAGAACTTCTAATGCTGGTAAACCACAAATCTTATTTTCTACAGCATCGATGGTGATTCCACAACTGAAAGATGAAGTACCTAGACTAGCAACCTCTAACTGTATATACCAATTCAACTGAGCTTGTGGTGAAGCAAATTATATTGGTTGCTGCTCATCTGGGAAAATCCACCAGCGTGGTGTAGTGAAAACCCTCAACAGTTCGATAATCGACCACCTAGTGCAAACAGGCCACAAAGCTGCCAGCATTGGTGAATCTTTCTTTATCATCAGCAGAGGCTACCGCAATTCGCGCGAAACAACCAGAGCTTTGTGTGCAAAAGAAGCAAGTCCAGCTAGCTATTACTGCCCTGGCCGGTCTTCAGGTGGAAACTATAAATTCATGAATTTGTATTGTTTTTCTTAATTTTTCTGATATTCAGCGGGTAGTGTTATATTGATGCTGCCGAACTGTAATCCACCGATATTATTGTCATTAATGATTCGATGTTATTTAAGCAACATTAATGTTGTTAATTACACTAATTAATCTGGTTACGTGATTTCACCGTGAGCTGACATCAGTTAGAGGACCACTGAAATACCTTCAAGGAGTACTCGATAGCTGTTTCGTCCTAGTTTGGGACTCTTCACAGTACGCACTCACCATCGCCAGCGTTCGAACCAAGGACCTTCCACTTACAAGGCAAGCCAGCTCATACACCATCAAGACACTAAGACTTGATCCAACTTCTGCCAATTCACGACATAGTGTGACCGCTAGCCAATGTCTTCGGTGAGTATTTGTCCTCACACCCGACCTGCTGCACCCTACTGGTCACGACGTTCAGCAGGTCGGGTGTGAGGACAAATACTCACCGAAGACATTGGCTAGCGGTCACACTATGTCGTGAATTGGCAGAAGTTGGATCAGGTCTTAGTGTCTTGATGGTGTATGAGCTGGCTTGCCTTGTAAGTGGAAAGTCCTTGGTTTGAATCCAGTTGAAGTGGGCGCGTACTGGTGAAGAGTCCCAAACTAAGACAAAACAGCTGGCTGTCCAGTACTCCCTAGTGGTGTACAAATGGTGGTTCTCTAACCCATGTCACCTAGCAATGAAATCCTGTAATCAATTAATCAAAATCCCCACAAACCAATATTTGAAAAACTAACCTATTCATTCACTTATATGTATATATAATTAACTGTAGAACCTAATAAGGAGCAAGTTATCATAAATGAGAATATTCTTTGTTCAGTAAGCAGTGTTTTGAAAAATAAGAAAAGTGTTAAATAAATCAATAAATAATTTACAAATACTTCATTGATTGATAACAGACAAACACACATTTTTTTTCAACAAATTAATGATATCCATATCACAGTGTTCAAAAGGGAATAAATTCATTTTCTTTTTTTCATCTTATGATATATCTACTACTACTACCAATTGACGAATAATAAGGCTGACTAATTCACGTTGTTCTAAATTCAAAATGATTGTAACATCACTGAAAGTTTCTCCAATTCAACAATATCTTTTATTCGATGGGCTAACTATGAAAGAAAGAAAGAAAGAAAACAATCATATTGTGGCGAGTATTACTTATAAAACTTATCAGTAGTATATAAAGAGACTCATCGGAGGGCATAAAAATATCAAATAACAGGGAGGCAGAATTGACATCAGCAAAAGTAAATGATTCAGCATTGTGGAGAAACAAGGGAGACGATGTGAAGGGAACACAAAGAAACAGAAGATGATGGAAGGCCATAAGTAGCATAACACAGAAGATCTGTGCAAATGATACGTTGAAGGATAAGGTGTACAAAATATGCCTATATAAAGGTAACACCTTCCAGGTGGAACACATTCCTTCAAGCTTTAGTGTCGTTTCCACAGGGTGGGACTGTCCGCCCCATGCCTAATCTTCCTCCGTTCACAGACTTATTCCTTCCTGGCTAGGTGAGGTTTAGCAATGCGTCAACCGGTTAGACTGTTTATTACTTACCTCTGGAAATCTAGCCCCCTTATGCTATACCTAAAACACAGCTACTCTGATACCACGTGTCACTCTCACACGCTTACTATCTATAGTGTTCGCATATTGATGCCAATTACGTGACCGGTGAGTCTAACCTGAAACCTGGAAACCTTCAGTGTTGACTTATGTTGCATCTCAGAGAATCACAAACAAGATCTTAGTGAAGTAATCTTTTCTATTTGAAGGATTGAGAGTAGTGTCTTCCACACACACAGTTCTCCAGGGACAAGTTGTGATTGACATCTGCGGCTCATCTTTTATCAGTTTCGCATCAAGCACTAGAGCCAAAGCCGCACTAGTCGACTGGATCCTCATTAACAGTTATCTGTGATCTTCATGCTGGAAATTTATATCAGTATCACAAGCAATCAGCTGGGGAAGCGTTGTCTTCTCGTCAACACTGTCTGTCCACTGACGGACAGATCAGTTCTACCATAAACTAAGTGTGCTCCTCGAGCATGCACATTTGAAGGATATCGCAGTGTTAGTTAGGGAATTAAATGCACAGACTAGGCATATAGTCTTAGAGGAAAGTTGTTTACCCGGTCAGTAGGGGCTACACATCCGCGGGTCGGATATTTCTAGCCATTTCTTGTTCTACGCCGGAGATGCACATGGTGCAACGTCACATGTCTACGTCTCAGGACGGATCGGTGATGTGTCTGCTGCTCCCATTTTGAAATTTACGAGCAAAACAACAAGATCTCATCTTAATCCAGACAAGCGGAATCCTTATTTTCATTAATCCTATAGGGTTTCATAATGACTGATGACTAGTGCACATATTATTTAACATCTTGGTCCGTATTTCAAGACAGGTCAGGTCTATAGTCTACCACACAGAGAAAACTGCTAACTGAACAAGATTAGGCAATCAACTGACCAACCAAGACAAGTGGTAAATCGACCAGCCGAAACCCCACCTGAAGGATAGAGTATATATACACAGCCACTGTATCCGACACCATACAGATCCTGTAGCTATAGTCAGTTAGTAACATTCATAGCCAGTAGGTCACCTACTAACCTAACCAAACCTAACGTTAACCAGATCGGATCAATTTGACTACAGAAGAGAAAGACAGCAGTATCGGTAGTGGTGATCACCCAGAGGCAGTGTACTGACAAGCTAACTGACACACCCTCCAATGTGTGCAACACATGATAAGCATATCACAAATATTTACCAATAGGCAGACACCTACAGCTAACTAAACACTGAAAGGTGACCAATACGCACAAGTATAAATCATGTTCATCAGCTGAATTCTCAGCGACCGCGAGCTCGAAACGTCACCAGTTCATATTATTGCAAAACACTGTGTGATTTATCAAAATAAAATCCTTTCCATAATGGAGTTATACTCTACCATAGTGCTCAAGTTTTATACTTATATCAATCTCTGTGTATTGACTGGGAGACATTCTTACAACAGCACACAACCTACAACTGTACAGTGAAATATCAAGTTTGTAATACATTTTCTTTTAGTGTATTTTTCAATGATTTTTGCGACTTTTTTTGCATCCAAGTTCTGATTGGTTGTTCAGGGTCACTGTGGTAGTTTAACTGTGCTTGTTACCCTTTTTGTTAATTTGGAAGTTCATTTCACAAACTCTGCTCGTTTATGACAGTCACTACTCGCTAGCTAACATAAGAATGACAATGGGCATTTCATGAGTATCATCAGATTCTTTCTTGTTCTTAACCATCCACTCAATCGGACAGCTAACATAAACTGAATACAAGAACTTATTTTTGTCAACTATTGTATTTTGTACTAAAACACTTAGTATTAGTTTTAACACAATAAAGTCTACACATGAATTAACCATTGAGTCTTTCGATGTTTTTTTTTCCTTCACGTTCCCCAGTGGAACATAGGGCTTCAAGCTAGTGGCTTGAAGTTTCTGTAGCAGTGTTTATTTTACAGGATGGGGTTGCTAGCCTCATATCCAACCTTTCCTCTTTACCAGCATTATTTCTGGCTTAGTGAGGCGAAGGAATGCGTCAGTCGGGGATCGAACCCCGGACCATGTGCATGGTCGGCGAGCGTCCTGACAGCTATGCCACCGACGCAAAGTTTTTCGATGTGTGTTGAATGAATTTTTCAGAGTTGTTACACATTCATCAGTGAGTACAATTCGTTACCTACCATAGATGGTAATGAATATTTTCCGAAATGAAAGGCTGTACAGTTAGTTGAAATTCTAGTTTCCTTCGTTGGAGGAAGGTCGGGGTGGGGTGGGGGAGTCGGCATAACTCTGTTAAGTTCTTATACAGTCAGTCAGCAGCGTGATGGACCTCACATCGACCATGGTAATGTAAGCTATTTATACTACTGGCTTTTATTCTTAACTCTGTTTACCTAGTAGTAGTATGATCTCAACCAATGGTAAACGATTGACTCGTGATAATCAAGCTTATACTAAGTTCAACAAGGTAGCAGCTACCGGTTAACAGAAAGCTGATGACTTAATGAGTTGTTAAGTTGCAGAGAGGATGGGATATAACGTTGTGTAGTAATAATAATTATTATTATTACTGACCGATCAATCAGTATAGAACGTCACACGACTGATACTCAAATTTATGATACATAAACCTAATTTTCTCTCACGCTACTTATGACCTTTGAAATCTTATTGGTTTTTCACTGTCTTAATTTATCAATGACATTACTGCCTCTCAAGGTCATTTCAAACTCATATGTACACAGGCATGAGTCGGTGACACAGCGGTAGAATGCTCGCTCGCCAACCACGCCTCATGTGTTCCAGGGTTCGATCCCCGGCCACCGACGGGGATAAGCCAGTAATACGACTGGTAAAGAGGGAAGGTAGGGCATGAGGCTGGCTAGCAACCCCATCTATCCTGTAAAAATAAACACCACTGCTATCGAAACTTCAAGCCTATTAGCTTGAAGATGCTCTATGTTCCACTAGGAACCTAAAGGAATAAACAAGATGTACGCAAAGGCCCTCAATCTTTTTTGACGTCGTCTTTACGGCCCGGCGGTGTTATTGTTGTCGTCGTTGTGAGATTAGGAAAGATTAGCCAGCAGCGCCTTAAGTTAGTATATTCACTCATAGTCTACTCTACTAGATCGTAATTCCCAGTCATAACAATTTACTTTATGAAAAAAAACATTCAAAGTTACTCACCACAAAAGACTGCAATAAGATGAATAGTTCTTCATCGATATAAGCTGATTTCATAGGTGATGGTAGTAGTAGCTGTTCCGTTGTTCCCTCATCTTCAGTGTCTTGACAATCGATATCCAAAGTGTATTGTTTCAGTGAATAACCAGATGTATCATGGCTGCATAGTTTATACGGTGGCTAATTTGTAATTTATAATAATAATAATTTATTAATACAATCACAAAATAAGACCTTACCATACACAGAAGAATGAGTAATACACGAAAAATTTCAGAATAACTCCAATATTGTACATAAAGATCAAATGAATGAGCAGCTGTAAACAAAAAAAAGAAAACAGGTCAAAGGAAAGGAAGTAAAACTAATTTAGGGCTTTATGCGATTTAGATTTAATTGGAAGAGAAGTTCAGTGTTGTTTGACTGCGTCAGAAACCAACAATACATCACTTGTGTTGGCTTTTGAACACAAGAGGTGGCTGTGGTGGCCCAAGTGGTCTAGTGGATAACGGTTTGGCGTTTGAAACTATGGGCACTGGTTTCTAGACTCGTTGGGAACATCATCACTCACTGGGGAATGCAGGGACATCCAGATGACGAGTCCCAAATGGGACGAAATGCGCATCCTGGATTCCACTGCTAGTCACTATCCACCAATTAAATAACAATAACACATCAGTTAGAGAGATCTCATTGAAAAAGAAAAAACAGTCAGGGTCAGCTGGACCATGGGAACGAATCCGGGACCTATAAGTCACGAGACCAACCTCATCATTATCTATTCGAGTGTCGGTGGTTTGTAGGGATTTGATTGATTGGCTACAGGATTTCATCACGAGGTGACGTTAGTTAGAGAATTTATCGGGAAACTAGATGGGAGCACTGGATAGCCAGCCAACCAGCCAGCTGTTTCGTCCTAGTGCTTGAGACTATTCAGCAGTACGCACTCACACCCACAGGATTCGAACCCAGCGCCCTCCGATTACACAAGGCAAGCGAACTCGTAGACCATTAAGTCACTGGGACCTAATTCAATAACTGGCTGCCCCCATGAATACCAACCTCTGTCAATTTATGGTATACCGAGACCACTAGCCAATGGGCTGAAATTCAATGATCTGTGAATTCCAACTTTGCCAAACTAGGACGAAATAGCTATCCAGTACTCCTAGTTGGTATTCAATGATCTCTGTAACTGATGTGGATTCGTAAGAAACTTCAACAAGTAGAATTAAAGAAAAATAAATCAGCCAAAGTATTTCTTTCCTTTCTTTGTGTTCCCAGTGGCACATAAAGCTTCAAACTTCAAGTAAATTGATAGATGGTGGCTAGCAGTGGAATTCACCAAGATACATATTTCGTTCCATTTGGGACTCGTCAACTAGCTGGATATATACCTGCATTCCCCAGTGAGTGATGCTGTTCCCACTGAGATATTCGAATCCAGTAGCCATAATTTTAAACGCCAAAGAGTTATTCACTAGACCATAGCCACCTCTCTTGTACAAGGGGAATCAGTAATCATTGAATTCAATTTGTTCCTCCTAATGATTCACTGGACCGAAGTCCTCGGCACCTCAGGTTGATATGTCGGATATTTGTGAAAATGTTTCCACTATGTCTGATTACTTAACTCGAGGTAAATTGGTGGATGATGGTGAGTAGCAGCTGAATCCAGGATGTCCAATCAATCAATGGGAAAGCCAAATTGAATTAGATAAAAGAGCTTCAAACTCGACGTTTTAAGTTCAGCAGCATTGGTGTCACCTTTATGGGGTGAAGTCGCTAGCCTCACGTCCAACCTTCACTCTTTCACAAGCTTACTACTGGCCAAGAAAGGCTTAGGTGTGTCGGCCGAGAATCGAACCCGTATCATGTGTCTATTTGGTGAGCATTTTACCCTTGAATCACAGACGCACAGTCAAAGAATATATACATATATATATAATTTATACTTACTGAACTCTTCTTTCAATAAACATTGTATTCTTATGAATGTACTCAAGGCACCAGGCCAATCATCTGTAAAATACCAATAATAATAATTCGCTTTATTTCAAATCAGTATTTATGATACAGTGTGGGATTTTCAGCATTTTGTATACTATTCTATCTAATTTACTGAACAACTTAAAAACAGCAAAAACAAAAGATACGTGTTACAAGGTATACGAAACCAGGATTGATAATGGCAGCTTTTTGGTATTACCAGTGACAATAATATTAACAGGTAACATTATTAGTTGAAATAGTCACCATAGATTATAAATTGTTGCTATTATTATTATTATTCCCTTGGGTTCCCAGTGGAATATACAGCTTCAACAACACATCTCCACTTTTCTCTTTCTTCTGCTGTCCTCTTCATCTGGGTCCACCATTCCGCATAATTCTCTCATCTCATCACACTCACACGATCTCCTCCATGTTACCCTTGCACCGACGACCGACTCGTCGCTTTCCATTTAGATTCCATTAGACCGATGGGCTAGTGCGCTATGTCATTCGACAGCCTCCTCAATGTATATCCGATCAATCCATCTCAATTTTCTCCTACATATTTGTTGAGAAATCGGCTTTTGCCTGTTGGTTTGTCACCATTCAGAGTTTCTTGTTGCTAATTCTCACTGGCCGTTTGATCTTCAATATGGAGCCAGTTAGCGATGGTGGCAGCCGTTGATAAAAGTCTGCAACAGGCCGTTGGAAATCCTTTTCGTGATATACAGTGCAAGTTTCTGACCCGTATAGAAGGACCGACTTGATATTGGTGTTGAACAGAATCCGAATCTTGTTTTTTTATGCTGGCTGAGTACAGAAGATTTCCAAGTTGAATTCAGGTTGATGAAGTCGTATCTTACCTTTCCGATTCTGAATGGCTGGCTTTGACATCTTCATCTTTTCCACCGGCCCTCTGTCTGTCTGTCTGTCTGTTTTCGACATAGAACTTTGCACATATGTGCGGAAGTTCAAGTCGCCACATTCCGTGTAGCACGCGAAGCAAGAGAAGAAAGTACAAGAAAAGCATAATAGAGACAGTGAGCAGAGGTGTGAGACAAAGGAGGAGTAATGACGAAGAACAAAACAGTTTCATTGGAGATCATAAGTCACAGGGAGTGGATGCATCTGCGCTAGCCACTGAGAACGGTTTTGAGCCATGTCACCAATTGTTTCCAACCATAGATTTTTACCGTCCCGAGGACCCCAGCCTGGAAGTCTACACCTTTCTACGTGGCTTAGACCAACTGTTGTGGATTTCATTGACTGATGCCAAGTTTTTGTTTGACCGCCACCCTCTAGTTGGAACGATGCTGCCTCTTCAGCCAGGTTTTTGGGTTTCACTTCCAAGTCTTCGCGTTTGTGTGACAGATATATATCATCTGCGAAATCCAGGTGTTTCAAGAGTCTTATTATCGGTCGTCCAGTGTATTCCTGACTCCTACCCCCCAACAGTCTGACACATAACCCAATCCACCACAATTAAGAATATCATCGGTGATAACAGGCAGCCAACTTATCTTACTCCTGTATACACTTCGAACACCTCGCTGAGTTTCCCGTTGTGGATCACTTTACACGTGGCATTGTCATATAGTTGTTGAATGAGGTTGACAAAGACTTGAGGTACGCCATAGTGTTGAAGTAGTTTCCAAATTACTTCTCGGTGAACACTGTCTATCGAAGGCATCTTCGAAGTCGATGAAGTTGAGGTAGAGTTTTGACTGCCATTTTATGCTTTGATCGATGAAAATGCGTAGAGTTAAAATTTGATCAGAACATGATTTGCCTTTCCTAAATCCAGCTTGTCCCGTTCCGACGGAGTTATGCATCCAATGCATCCTTTATTCTCCCCAGGATGATGCGATTTATTATTTTACTTATTTTAATTTAATTTTTGATTACAGCTTGATTCCACACTGTACTTTTGGTACAAGTATGGAATTTTCAGCATGGATATTGGTAACCCAAATTTTGCAGGCCGACCATAGATATTAGGTGCGCGTCGGCAGGGGATCGAACTTCGGACCATGTGCATGGTTGGCGAGAGTCCTAACCACTGTGCCACCGACGTGGCGTGGACAAGAGCATTATTCCACACCAGTTCTTACACAAGCTTAAGTTTGTCTTCTTTGGTAGCTTGACGAAGTAGCCAGCGTTTCTTCCAATCGGTAGGTGCCTTTCCTTCTTTCCAAAGCTTTTGCAATAATGCAGATTACAAATAGGATAGAATAAAAGGGCCGATTATTTTGCTAATAACACAACAAGAGTCGTAGGGTTTGACCCCAAACACTATCTCTATCCCACAGAACGCCGGCTGGTCAAATACGGTATCGTTGAGCTTTTGTACTTGCCTATACAAGCATATAATCATTCATAATGACTTGCAGTCCTACACGATGAGATGCAATTCAAGGGGAGAGTTGTGAATAGAGACTCAAGTGTCAACAAATTGTATAAGCGGAGGTTAAATGATACCTGATTGTCTTAACTTCTTAGTGTAGTAGTAGGTTAGACGGAACGTTTTCTTAAAAAATCAACAAGATATGGAATGGCTAAGAAAGGTGAGAGAATAGAACTATTTTCAAGGTATTTTACTCTTGACTTAGTTTCTATTTCAGTACCCTGTCCGAGTATGCTACAGGCATCATGTGAACGGACAAGTTCTTTTAAATCACGTTTATACCCATCTAAAAGTAAACTTAACTGTTTGACATTTAAAGGGGATTTAAAGCAAGACCATATAGCTTAGACCACACTACTGGTTGATATCCGACAGAAAGGCCATTAAGTTTGGAAGAGCTAGATCCCGAAGTAACTGTCAGCAATGACCCCAAGAGTTCTGCCTTGAATCAATTTGTAATGTGAGCACATCCTCTCCATCGTAAAATTAACTCCACTTACTTCAACTTTTCATTTACAACTTGGTGAAATTCATGTCAACGGACGAGTTCTTGTAAATCATGTTTATGTCTGCGTGTCTAAAGGTGAAGTTAACTGTCTAACATTCAGAGAGGATTTAAGGCAAGACCATAAAGACAATGATAACGGTTTTAAAAAAAACATGTCAATATGAGGCAAAACAACTAACGACGACGCATAACTCACGTATACACAGCTGACAATGACTCAAACGTTTATATAATTCTAAACTCAATAATATATCCTTTGATACAATCTCCATTGTACGTTTTAAATAAGGAATAGCTTGATTATACTTGCATAATCTCTATTAAAAAAATGATTTGCATTAAATTTGTTCCTAATTAAATAATTAATACCTCTACCTACCATTAATAAATCCACCAGATAAATGTAGACATTTGTTGCTAATGTGAACAACTCATTCAATTCATAAATCTACATTACGAAGAAAAAATATGAACAGAGTGCAGAGTTGAAGTTACCCTTGCTGATCTTAACAGGCATAGAATAGCACAGTCTAAATTATCTTCATAATTCACAGCATTCATTGAAGTGTATTTATCGTCGGCTTGGATGAAATACTTTGCTGCAGTGAATAAGGTGGATGCTTCAGCTGTGACATTTTTAGCACCGAATTCACATCTGCAAAATAAAAACATACTTTTTTAAAAAAAATAGAACTTTTAATCAATTAAGCAGACACAACCGGCAAATTACATAACTGACTAGCTGCAACATAGGACTTTGAACAAAAGACAGCATAGTTCCAGTTGCCACACTACATGTAGTAACATGGAGAAACAAGAGGACTTTATTCGATTTGGCAGATCACAGAGAATAAATGCATCCACACTATTCATTAACAACGATGATTTTAAGCCATATCACTGATAGTTGTCTCCAGTCTTCATTGGTACTTACCATCCCACGGACCACAACCAGTTAGGCAGTCTAACTGTTAAAGACTTCATGGACTGATGGCAAGTTCTCGTTTGGCCATCAACCTGATCTATCCTATGTCAGTCAGCTAACATTTCCTGTCGTTGAGGAAGACGATGATGGCTAGGCCTGAGTAACACGTGTCTGTGCCACACCTCAATAGATGTACCTTCATAACTTCACTGATTGATTTTTCCTCATCACCTAATACCTAATACGCGTAACCAAAATATTACACCCCATATTATACCACCTAACACGTGAGACACAGTGCAGACATCTGTAGTCAAAAACTGCTGACCATTTCATGTCTCCCACTTTCAATGTCCATGTCTCATAGCCATAAAGGTGAACGGAGTGAACTGCTGAGCAGTCCACATGTCCTTTTGATCGATATCCAGTTGGATATCACATCTACGCCAGAGATGATGTAAGTTGGTGAATGCCACACAAGTCTTTTGAATTGATTGTTCAAATCTCATCAGCAATCAGTCGATCAGAGTCCCAAACTAGTGAGGTGGTCAGTATTCTTAACCATTTCTCACTCCCTGTCTTTGAAGTATGATAAATGGATATGACAATTTAAACACAAATATTTCAGAGGCTTGGCACTCGTGTGTCAGCAAAATCATTTCCACCAAGTTAAAGATTTTCATTAACACACCTAGCCCCTTCACTACCTTGATACTGAAAATAAGGTGACTACCAAAAACAACAAACAACAAGAAACTCTGACTGCACACAACACAACAAATATGCAGAAGGAAATGGATGTGGACTGAGCTAAGGATACGCTAAGGATACCTCCAATTGACACAGCACACACTAGGCCATCGAATGGAATCCAAATCCGAAGCGATGAGTCAGTCATCCCAGGATGATGTGGAAGAGATTATGTGAAGAGACAGTAAAAGCTTGTGGGTAATCGTGACGCTAGCTGAAGAGGACTGTAGAGAACAGGATAGCATGGAAATGTATTGCTCAAGCGCTTGGAATGTTTCACTTGGAATGCAAGGAATGAGTGAACAATAATAGTAAAGCGATGGCATGCATATCTTGTATCACTTCCTACCGATAAGCAATACACCTAACTTGTTTACAGTAAAACAAAACGTCAGCAAATTGCTACTATATTCTAACAAGTAAGATAAAATCTTATAACTACTAAATGTCAGCTTAATAAGTTTATAAGCTCGTATTTTGCAAAGTGGAGAATGCATATTACACAGTTTTGTTACCTTATCTTTCTGAGGATTTAATTCTACATGATAAACTGACTGACTGCTTCCAAAGTAGAACTTTGAGCAGACGTGCAACAGTTCGAGTACACAAAACATGAGAGTAAAGAGAGATTCAAAAGATAGGGAGACATAATAAACAGAAATATGAGACAAACAGAATAGTAGAATGTAAGGACAGAATTTTATTGGCTATTATACATCACAAAGAGTGAATGCATCTGCACCATCCATTGACAACGATTTTGAGCCATATCACCGACTGTCTCTAGCCTTCACCAATTTTTACCATCTTGAGGACCCCAACCAGAAAGTTTACACCTCCTGACGTGGCTGGCTTAAGTGAACTGTTTTGGATTTGATTGACTGATGCCGAGGTGCTTTGTTTTGACCACCACTGGCTCTTTTCAAACTTGACCCATCCTATGTCAGCTATCACTCTCCATCGTTGAGGCAGGCGATGGCTGCTAGGCATGCGTAACACATGTCCTAACCATCTCAATCGGTGTAACTTCACAACCTCATTGACTGATGTCCCCTTCTTACCTAGAACTCGACGCCTAACCACAATATTGCTCACTTTGTTATACCACTTAACACAGGAGACAGAACGCAGACACGTATGATGAAAAACAGCTAACCTCTTTTCCACTTTCAATGGTCATCATATCTCACAGTCATGAAGGAGGACAGAGTGAACTGCTGAACAGTACACACACCCTTTGGTCGACAGCCTAATTTCACGTCTACGCCAGAGATGGCATAATTCGGCAAATGTCAAACGAGCCTTCATACAGGATAAACAGGGATAATGATATTATATAGTTAGAAAGAGTAAGGGTTACATTACAATGTCAAAGCTTAAAGAGTCACCACAGTGAGAGAGAAAGAGTAATTGCTCTCTCTCTCCCTCAAACACACGCAGATATACACAACAAACATGGGAGAAGAGTAGAATACTAATCACTCATTGAGGAATTAGTCACTCGAAATCTTTCCAAAATGATGCATTTTCAAAATAACTTTTTTTGAAACAAGACAATTTACACCTTACTGCTTGGTCGAAAGAAAAAAACGGTTGAATAGTGTACAATACAATACTATACACATCCTTGATAAACATGGAGAGTACTAAACTCAAGTGAAAACATTTCTAGTACTGTGTTGGTAGATAATATGACAGTAACCGCAATTAGAATATTTCAGTCAAATTGAAGTGAACTACTAAAAATCCACAAGTAGCATGGATTCAGGAAAAGCAAGTCATGTGCTCAATAAACCTCGAACCTACGTGTTAATATCGAACAGAACATATAATGGCAGTGTGGAAATCTGCTGCACTAAGTGTTACAAAAAAGATTCCGACTTTTAACCTTAATGTCCATTTAGTTGTTCTATATAGTTCAGAGACTTGATGCGTACGTTGCGAAAATCATCTTCAACAGACTATAAACTTCCATCAACACCTGTCTTCTTTCGACACTGAAGATTAGGTGGTCAGTCAAATATGATGAAAAACAAGGGATTTTGGAAAGCAGCGAAACAGCCAAGAACCTATTGCCCAAAAAATATACCGGAGGAAATGGATAAATCGGACATATATTGATAAGACCATTGCGTGACAACCGTGCAACACGTCGTCGAAAGGAATCAGAATGGAAAACAGCCCGTTAGGCATCGAAGAGTGTTATGGATAGGATCGTACGAGGGAGAGATGAGAGCTTATGGGTAATGGAACGAAGACCCAGCATGAATACAATAGGTTCACTTGGCATTTGCCAACTTGTACTTCTAACGCATATATGATGTGAAACTGACGATCAAAACTCATGTGTGATAAGAATATCACTTTATTCTGTTCTATCCTGTGAGACAACGTCGGTGAAGAAAGATTTGAAAGAATGAGACATTTTTGTTTTAGCACAAGCGACTTCATTGGATGACTCGCCCCATATTGGGCAAGGTAATAAGAAGTAACAAGATTAGGCATAGAGTTTTAGGCATAAAAATAAAAAGAAGTCAACAAGTTCATGAAGCCTTACCCACTAAAATCGCCTGATTACTTCCTACACATGTCAAACCACCAACTTCCTTGACCAGTGATGTCAATTGAAGTAAGATCAACTTGGGAAAAAGTATGTAGTCAGACCAAAACATGCTATTAACTACTGACTGTTAACCTGAGGCAATGTAGGTAGGTATTTGCCACCAGGCTGTGACCCTTGTGTCCTAAGAATTAACGACTGAATGGTTTTTTTAATGTCTATTTGAGCACATCCAGAATTCGATGAACTTCTTATTTAAATATCCTTTCTCCTTACGCCTTCATCGGTTGAGGTTTTATCGCGCTTTCTTTGTTTATTTTCATGTGCCTTCTCGAAGTGTGGTGACTTGATTTAATGAACTTAGACGAAAATAACTTTTGGCCTTAACATCTAAAGAGGTGGATTTGTTAGGCTTACCCGACTTATATTATCGCTTCAAATTACCTTAATGTCTCTTCAGTAGGATTATGACAGAACATTCTTTCGGAAGGAAATTTTAGTAGCTATTAACAAATTATTTATGAAAAATTCGGAGTACACATAATTCTAAGATGAACTAGTGTTCATTTGAACTTAGTTGGCCATAAGAATGAAGGGTTTAACGATAGAATTATAGAACGAACCTGGCTTTTCCTAGCAAAAATACTGCTGCTAATGAATGACATTCTTGACTAGCCAAACTTTTGGCCACACAAGCTATAAATGAGTTAGTGTTACTGCATATGCATGCTTTCCTCAACGTACCGAAGTCATGAGCTTGATCATCTGATTTATTTCTTTCATTTAGCTTTCTAAAGTACAATATACATTAGGATACATGCACGTAGTACTTTTTAACATCATTACTCAGAGATTTATAAATTTGAGGGTAATCTAATGATGGATCCATAAATTGCGCCACAAGTTTTATTGTTTTCACTACCCAGATATTTTAGTTGTGGCCGCTGTTCTCGATTCCCGATAACGAAGCACAGTTTTTTGTCTCTTGTAGATCCAAAAACCTCCTCTAAATGCTCTGCTAGACTTTGAGGGGGATGTGAGAATGATGAAGTTGGAAAAGGAATGAGTCTTAGATGCTAATGATTTAGACTCATACAATTAGAATAGTAGGCTCTGATGGTCTGTGTTAATCCTCTCAGTGTATATCTGTGCAGAGATCTAATTTCTCCTTGAAAGAGATCACCGATGGAGCTGATACTACGGAATCAGATAAGGAGTTCCGTTTGTTGACCACTATGTCAGAATCTAAATTCCACACGAGTTTTATTACTCTGCGGTTTGCGCACCCTTTGTAGTGACCCAGCAGATTTATCTTCAAGGGAGGGAAAACTTTAGAAAGATCAATCCCAGCATCATTCTTTAACATACGATATTCCTAAATTAAGTTACCTGACCTTCGGCATGACGATGGGAAGAGATTTAAATATTCCCTCCTCCTCTCATAAGGAAGATGTGAGACACCAGTTGCTAATTTGATTCCTACTCTTTTTATTGTTGCCGAGACAAGACCGTCTCTCTTGAAGCATGGACTAGCCGCTTGCACTCAGTGATTTATATGATGCCTGACATACTTTGCATACGGCACCTCGAACAAAGCCTTACCGTCCGGAAGCCCTTGGAAGTGCCTATAACATTCGGAAAACCTTTGCTGCAGCTGTGTGGTGATAGTTAATTCCCCACTGTTGGCACAGCATTCATCAATTAACAGTGGATGCTGACCCTCCCTGATTAAGTCAAGTCGTTTAGCTGACGGCTTCCGGTCAAGCATCCACGCCATTTGGTACGCCGTCATGTCACGTTCGTTCGTGCACGATCCCTAGCTTAACATATTTATTTTCGAATATTAAATAAAAACTGTCCGTGTGTGTCTCGTGTGTGATTTACGCCAACTGGTAGTAGAGTAAACGTTAGAAAAAAATTACTCCTATATGGCAATAAATTTACAATATCACTGGTTCAATTCTTTTCTGCGTCTGGGTTCATACGTTCCACGCATGTAAGTATCATAGATTTTCAAAGAGCCTTGAATGGTTGAGATGCGGAGGCGTGAAATGTCGAAGGAGGTGAAAAAGAGTGTGCGAAGGTATTTTGCAGAGAGTTGACTGATCACCTCTCGATAAGAGATTACAACAGGAATTTGCGTGATTCTTTGAACTGTATGTCCCATTGTGGACAGGAATCGTTTACATGCGGCAACCATCGTTGGAGCTCCGTATTTTGACATCTTAGATGCATGACTGACATAAACGTGGGCATCGCCGCAGACTGTTACGTCGAGAATGTATGCCACACCGTCTAACAGGATAGTCATATCTGGTTGACAGAAAGACGTGGGCGTTGGAACTCGCGGCTTTATGTAAAATCTGGTATTGGATTTGCGGAGCTTGTTGACGATCAGCTTGAGGACATCGTTGTGTCTCTTGCATCTGACCTCATGAGTAAGAGCACAATGCTGAAGAATGTGTTGAAGATTTTCTGGTCGACCGCACCCTCCTCTGCAGTTGATGTCGACTCTAGGACGTCACCGCGCATTTCTCGTTTCTGTGCCCAAGAGACCCACACGCGGTTGAAAGGCCCGTACATAGAGTTTGGGCAAGACCATTTCAGGATTAAGAAGCCATTTGTGAGGTTCGGGACATGTTGTTGATTCCGTCAAACCATAACCATCTGCTGATGTGTGTAGCTGTTGTGCCCAGCTTTCACGTGCTTCTTCTGCAGATGTTACTATTTGCCTGTGGGCTTGCATCGGAAGATTGCAGATTCTAAGAAAAGGTGTGAAGGTGGCGGATGACGCTATGCTGCATATGAGCGGATTTCTACTGTTCAGCAGTGCCTCGATTCTTTTGCGCCTATGGCTTGGAATCGTTGTTGAGAGATTCATGATTCCCAGGCCCTACTTTTTGATATCAGCGTGGGAAAATGCAGTCGGAGTGTCCTTCGGGAGGTGAAGCCATCGGCGGACAGCTGCACGAATAAGTTTGTCCATAGTTTTCAGGGTATTCTTGTGAGTGATACTGAGAGTCAGTGAGTAGAGTAGACGAGGAATCAGATTGTTCTTCAGAATCATCTCGCACTGCTATTAGGTCCCGAAATATAACTCGTAATTTGGAGGATCAATCCTGGTGTTTTGTCTTGCCTTTGGTCTACGCTAAACGAATAGATCTTTCGTCAGTATACTTCTCACTACTCGTTAACCTCACCACCCTCAACCTCTAAAGCCGTATCAGAACCTGCATTCGTTTTCACATCATAACTAACAATAATTCGTAAGTCCTTTTGTCCTTTATCATCAAGCGGTTCGTTATCCTCCAGAGAGTAAGACGTGTAGGACCTCTGACCTAAGTGCATCATAGTGCTTTTCTGCGATTAGTCTCTAAACTGCATTTAATTTACCTAGACCACTTCGTAAAACTAGCCTACATTTTCGCAGATCTTAATATTGTCAGCAGATGATAGTAAAGATTGGTTAGGGTAACAACTGCCTGCCCCCTCTTCGATTTACCTGGCTATGATTTAAACAGTAGTTTCGGAACCACTAAGTCGTCTACCACAATTCAGAGCATTTTACTGGCGATGACAGTGATCTTGCTAAACCCCTGGGTAGTACAATCAGAGGAGAAGACATCACGAAAGTTTCCGGAGAGGTTTTCAGCCTTTGCTTCATTTGACTCGACCGCCTCTCCAGTAGTGCCTACGAACTACGATGTACTACTGCCAGTTTTTGTCTTACGTTTAATATACGAATACGATCGTTTTGAGTAACATATGTTTTCAGTATTCTGTATGACTTTTATCAACTATATACCAAAATATATTCCGGATTTTCCTGCAGCTCATTTGAAACTCCTCCCTCCCCGTTAATAAAAATTGGTCCAATAAGCTTTTTCGCTTCCTTAATAACCTCCCAATTTCGCCGCTAATCCAAGGCGATTTATTCGACAGCTCGCGAGGCGTATACCAATTTACAGGAGGTGAAGTGACACAATCTAGTGTATTCCTAAATATCACCCAGGCTCTCTCGACAGTTCTAATTGTACTAATTGACCAGTCAGTTAGGGTTGCCGCGTGGCGGATTGCCGATACATCCTCTTTCCAGATGTTTGGAAGAGATATCGACCCATGTGTGAAGTCATGTATCTTAAACGCAGGAGTAGTAGCTACTTAGTCACTACTACCTATTGGTGGGAGGTAATGTCGTGTAAATGCTCCTTCTGGTAAGTTACTACCAAGCCCAGAGCAGTTGGTTTATGTCCTCTACATCACGGCATTCTATGGCTACCCAGTTGTCGTATGTGGAACTAAGGTGGATGAAGCGAGTAAGCAACTAGGAACCATATTTTCTTTACGATTTGCAGGGCTATCTTTTCTGTTGAGTGACGAATGTCCTTCCGTTTGTCTGACTTAGTTTCCCAGCCTCACTTGCCCTCTGATTTGCTTTCGGAAATTAAAAAATGCGGGAAATAGTCGGCTTCCAAAACGGATCACGTTCAGGCTCGTATCGTAATGGTGCACGTACATGCTACACGAGTGCACACTAGGGGACAATCAGTGTTATTTCCTTGCTTGGACAGATATCCTAGCCTGTTGATGTTAATTCCTGCAAGTTAATATGTGTGGAGTCAAAGTCACCTACTAACAGCCACCTGTTTATAATACTACACTTTCTCAACTGATTTCGAACGAAGTCGTCAGCTTGGCTGGCAGGGCTTCCATCAGCAACCTCGATCGTTACAGTATCCTCTTTCAAGTTGTTAAAACAGTCTTCAGATTCACCAATGCCGCTGTCGCCCGCATCTAAGATCAGTGAAGCAATTTCAACTCAACATGAACGTTAAGTGCAGGTGTGTCACATTTCCAATCAATAATTCTGCTTGATTATGGTATTGCAGATAATAATCGTGATTCGAGTAGCTTGTGTCAGAAAACACACACATTCGTAAAAACCAAGTGATGAAGCCTAGTCAGCTACGTCTCCTAAACCGTCAATGCCCAGCTCTTGCTATGCTGGGACTCACGCTGTTCCTTGATGTTTCTCAGAAACGCTTAGTATTAATGGACGCAAAACCAAAACACCGATTGGCTACTCGAGAATTCTTCATTGTAACACCAACATATAGCCAACATTAAAACTAAGCTTTAACTAAGATCTATGGACAAATATTACAATAATAAAGCACAATATTACTTCTGACAGTTTTGGTCTGACTTCGTTCTGAACAGCGACCGGTGAGACGATGTCTGGTGTATCGATGTCTCCGCGGAAAAATAGGGAAGTTGGGTTTGAGCAAACAACCATGAATTGATCGTTCAATCTTCAACTACATTGACACTCCCCGGCAAAAAGGGATCCATCCCTTTTCTCCATCACGACCAATACACGTTGACTTGGATACGAGTGGGAGAAGCTCGGCCACACGCACAAAGCTGAAATCGAAAACAAACAGAAAAGCCAACACACAACAGGCATGCCCACAGCACAGTCTCACACATCGATGACGACCTACGCCTCCAGATAAATGTATCCTCTTGACATCTTGCAACACAATCGCCACCTGCTAGAATGACTCTTGCAGAATGCAACGTGACCATAGCACCACCTCATGATACTCCACGCACGTCCTCGTATCTACTCTTTACAAATTACCACTGCAATCGCTTGTCACTCATTCTGCCTCAGTTCTAGTAACGGTGACGCATGCGAGCCTCAGTCGTCTACACTCTTTCTCCCCGGCGTGTGGGACCGCAGCTAACAATTATCTCCGTATGCATTTCATTCTCAGCAATAGCCTAGCCTCCCCGGCGTATACGACCCATCTTCTGTCCTTAACATCAATCAATTCATTCATGGATGTAGAAGACAAGAAACAACTTCAGAAGTAATCACGACGA